TAGAAGTTTTCATCTTAGAAGTTTTTTAGTTCTTCGAATCTCTTCAAGTTAAAATGTTAAATTCTCATTTCTTCTATTTGTAAAATCAATAAATTCGCAGACGCGATCTTCAAATATTCAAACTCGCTGCTTCGATGTGGGAAACGATAGATTTTAATATAAAAATATTGTATATTTAGGATGCTCGAAGTGAGATAAATTACACAATTGTTAAAAGCAAGCGGTATATTATTCGTTGGACGATCTTAAATGAGAAGAGTTAATGTAATTGCTATAATATTATAAACGCGCGCGTTTGCATTCAAAACATATTTTCTGGTTAAAAATACCACTGAGACTCGTGAGTATCGCGAGTCCATCTTTAATCGTGCCATAAAAATTCAATTTTGCCCTTCTGTATTAGGAACGGCAGAATTTAACGTCGAAATAATTAAGCTTGATGATTCTGCTGGATTTTGTGTGTGGCGCGCGGTGCGTCGGAACGGACTTTCTCGTGCAGCGATAAATATTCCAGCCGAACGAAATTGCCGGGCTGGTGTATATTTCGCCGCCGCGCGCATAAAAGCGGTTAAAGATAGAAACGCAGACTTAATTCCGTGCGACGTCCGTGCAACACCGTGCGATTAAGATACGCAAGAAATAATGTGAAACGTGAAAGAGTATTCGAAAAGCCGCGCAATTACGTTGGATCATTGGAGGGATGGGACGGGAGAGACGGAAAAGTAGGATCATTACAGAAATGTAATGGTACAGAATAAACACGAAGCTGTATGTTTTTTGTCATTAACGTTTTCAACCGATGCGCGATGTGTGCGGCGTAACTTCACGTGGCTATTTTAGGAAAACGTTTTTTACTCATCAGAATTTAACGAACGTTCTCACCGTTGTCATTTGTTGTCAATTGTTTTGCATACATTATTTACGAAAAGAATAATTTTACTGATCTACAAATTTAACTATTATAGATACAGAGAAAGAGAGAGAGAGAGAGAGAGAGAGAGAGAGAGATGAAAATAATTTGTTGGATTAATTATTACTATGTTGGCATTAGGATGTTCAAATTGTTTGCTAAAATGTCCAATCTTTTTGTTCGTCAAAAGACTTGAGTTTCCTATCGTAATTATTTTCCATTAAATATTAATTATGGTCCATTTTCAGATCTGTATTTATCTACATTTTTACAGATAATATACTTCAGTAAAATTGTTCTTTTTATGTCTACTCGAATATAAATATTATATATATATATATATATATATATA